AATACTATAAATGACATAAGATTAAGCAAGAAACAAGTTGTGGAAACAATATTAGTTCAGAATTGCTTAGAGACTTGCATTTAGAACAAGAGGTCTTGAGCTATCTCAAGTAAATACATACTCTTTCTCTTAGATTCTATTTTGAGAGAGTGTATCAATATTGTGAAAGTTCCCATGTTGAGTCATATAGTTATGAAATGAGTCCAACATATATTTCTTGGCATTATTACTTCTCCATACATGCAAAGAAACATTAAATTATGTATTGATTTTAGTACGAAAAGCATAAAAGTGAAAAAATACTCAGAACGATTGTTTATAAAATATATTCAAATCATTCGAGAAAAATCATTTATAAAGGTAACGAAATACTTAAACCCTATATTAGAAAGAACAGGATATGAGTCTCAAATATCATAATGAACTAACTCAAAAACAAACTCAGCTCATTTATTGACCCTTGAACCTGATGGATTACAGTGATGTTTTGCAAACCGACATGAATTGTAATCCAATGAAGGTACATCATAAAACTGATGATATAGATTTTTCAACACAAATAGAGAAGGATGTCTCAATTGATAATGTGCTTCGAATGAAGAGATAATATTAGAGCAGACAACCGATCGAGGCACCCAAATATCGAGAATGTAGAGATTATCTGATATATTTTCTTTACCAATAATTTATTTCGTCATAAGATCTTGAAGAACATAATAATCAGAAAAGAATATAATATAAAAATTTAAATTTTTAATGAACTTACTCATAGAAATTAGATTGAAGATAAGTTTAGATTAACTTAATACAGATAACAGAATAATAGATGAAGTTGATTTTATGGTACGGGAACCCACAATGTTTTAGGTCGACCTAGCAGCAATAGTTACAGGAAAGGTGTTTTGTGTGGTCGAAAATTAGAAAAAATATTAAAATTACCTGTTATATGATCTGTAGCATCAGGATCAATCACCCATCAGCTCGAAGAGATAAAACATTTTTTCTCTGATTCAGTAAGAACAAAAAATTTATTCACAGATTCTTGATGATGAGAGAATATAACATACTCGTAAGTTGAAATCATAACAGTTTTTTCATAATATGAGCTAGCAGTAGTAGCAACAATATAAGCAGTCTGTGTTCTCCAATTGTGATTTTGCAATTTCTTACAATACCACTTTATATACTCTTATTCACGGCAATAATAACAGACAATTTTATCACACATTTTAATTTGGAAATTACAAAAATGCCACCCATACTACCCAAAATACAGGAGTTAGAAATATACGGAAAATATTGCAAATAAATGAGAAATTTTGAAAAAACAGAGTATCTCTTCATGCACGACTGTCAACAAAACCACTAGAACCTTATTGTCACCACTAGTGACCGAGCACCGCTGTACGCGCTGCCGCCGGATACCACCAAACGGCTTCCTTTCAGCCGGAAATCACCACAGAACCCAAATGCACACCCAAATTCGGAATGGAG